AGAGTAAAGCATTGGACGGTAGCCACGCAATACCCGACATCATTACAAAGCTTCTGCTGCGGTTAGTATAACGTCAGGCACTATATGTGGCCTCTCCAAGTTAGATAGCATTAACTATTCATTGAGTCCACAGACACATGTTCACATTTTGACACGGACAGAAATCCAGTCTCTCCGTGTTGAAACGTTCTGCTACCTGGCAGGGACATGTCAGTTAGTTCAATCCATCACAGAACCTCCTCACCAGTGATCTGACAGATTCACTTGTAAAGAGGCCCACTGCTTCATGTTTTTCAATCAATTCAAGTCCCACTCCTGGCTGTTTGTCCATCAAAGCTGAGGAGGACCGGCCCGCCGAATGGCTAACATCTTGAATCAAAGATTCATCCTCGTCTTGTTTGTTCGTTTTTTGCGTGAAGCCCATCTGTCATCTTTGACAGTATTCAGCCGCTACTTTAGGAGAACGTGCGTATTGTGTTAATTAGAGTTCCAGTGTTAAATCACACTGGCGGTTTAGATCATGTACACCGATGAATATCAGAATAAATAGTCAACCTGAAGAAAGAGTAAAGACGGAGTCCAGTGTGAGGCCCTATTGCTACAGAGGATACACAGCAGAGTGGTAAAATTTGCTGATGTTGAACCAAAGGTCATAGCCTTTGTGCTGACGATGGCAGAGGGAGTAGTTAAGTAAAAGGACTGATGGAGGTCAGTGTTCACCAGTGAGTGATGCGTGGACTCCAGCCCAGAGATGGCTCTTCTCCAGTGGTCAAGGTGAAAGCCAAATATCCTGGTCTGGGTGCAGCCATGTACAAAAACTCTCCATGTTCCCATTATTCTTTTTTTGTCGTCCTGCATCCCCATTGGAAAAGACGCATCATTAAAATCGGTTGTTAAGTTTTCTGAGCCAGCCTTTCACGATAGATGAAAACTCTGTCATGAGGCAAACTTAGAATTTGCGCATGAACAATATAAAATGTATCACACTTCTAATCAAAGTTTTATTTTCACTACAGTACAGTATCAGTTGGTCATCTAGTTTACAGTGTCTGGATTTTTATGGATTTGGCTGACACACTGTAATGCGTCATTGTAGCTTTAACATTGCAACAATAATGTGTAATAACAGTCCTATATTAATTATAAAGTAGGAAGGTTGGAAGGTTGTGTTAGTGCTTGCTCTTCCAATATTTTGTAGTGTACTTATTTGTCTTCTTTTGGAGAAGCTCTTAGCATAGCCTCAAACACAAATACCTGACCGATTATAATGATGAAGATATATAAAAGGGCCTCTATTAGACTACCGCTGCTGCCAAGATAACACACGTTTTCTGCAGGTGGAGATATAGGCGGACGTCCGTGGAGTCATCATTACAAAGGAGTATCCCCTGCTGTGGTTATGAGGGGGTCAAAGAGATGTGTTTAACCATTGCTATTTGCTTAATTCAGGGGAAAGCCAAGGCAGGTATATAACTTCTATTAAAAGGACTTCAAACCTCTGCTATAACTGGGAGTCTTCTCAGTTACATATACACGAGGGTCATAATTCTACCAGACTACACATAAAAAAGGAAAATGGCTCTCTGATGATATGCTAAATGCATCATGGCTGCATTATTTTGTGACAGCCAACACATTCAGCATTGCATATATCAACCATTAATTTCGGGTTTATATGATTCCCTTTTGTCATAAAATTAATTAACTTTAGCCACAGGCAGGTTACCTGGTTTCTGAAGTAGTTAAATGTGCCACTTAGATTAAGATTTTAAGCAGATAAAGAAAAACTTTCCTCATTCAGTAAAATATTTTACTATTTCTGGTCATGACTCAAAGAAGAATTTCTATTGGGTAAAAAAAACCATGTATTATCATTTCTTGCTCCTGCTGAGAGCTTTGGTGATAAACCTCTGATATCTGCAGTAGACACATTCATCTTGACTGAGGCATTTAAAGACAATTTTAAAAACATAAACGAACCTTCAAAGAGAAATGGAAGGTGTAAAAATGTGGGAAATTAGACTGAAAACACATCTTGTTTGGTTCTCAGTGTTTTTCTTTCATAATGACCACCTAAAGTAGTGTAGGTCCTCCTCCTACCATCAGAGCAGCTCTGACTAATTAGGTCACTGACATAGAGTGTGTCATAGAGTTTCTGTTATTGGGGCTTTACTAATTAGATTATATCTTGGGTCAGCTGCCAGGTGCACCATGGCAGGGGTACACCGGAGGACACCGCACAACATGGACAGGTTGCCAGTCAATCACACGGCCACACAGAAAACTGAGGGCATGCACACTCACATTCATTTATATGGGCAATTTGAAGTGATCAGTTAACACACCAGGCATCTTGCATGGTATGAGAGAGTCAGAGTACATGGATAGAACCACGTACACGCTCACACTCACACTCAAACCACCACACCAACCTTGCTGCCAATGATAAAAACAACTGATTTTGAACAATAACCAGAAGATCATGGAGCAAACTGTTGAACTACTAGCTGGTATTCTGACATTTCCCAGACTGTTAAAGATGCTTATTTAATCTTTAACATTATATCAATGAATTGGTCAAAACCTTCCCTGGTACATTTATGCAATTTAGACTGAAAAATGATCTTTGCCTCGTGGAAGAAAGAATTGAAAATGTTCTTATGTGGAGTACAGTAAATGCAATTTAACTCTTATGCAAAGCAGCTCTCTTTTGAGGCATCGTTTTAATCCTCTTCCACCTTTTTGCTCTCCTCCCCCTGAATTCTTTCGGTTCCCATTTGAAGGGATAGATTTTTTATTAGCAGGTACAGCTCTACAATTTTTCAATTGCAAGTCAAGTCAGCATCCATGTTGTCAAATACCCAAATCCACCACGGTTGATAGTTTAAAGAAAATTAACATCTTGCCTCCCTCCTTTGCTCTCTGGAGCTAAAGGAAGGAATAAACAGAGTGGCAGCGACACAGCACATCATTATCACTCTGTGGAACTGATTAAACAGTTTCCCAGGCCCAGTCATAAATCGGCTCATAATGAGGACTTCCTGGGTTTGTTATGGTGTCACCTAAAACAAAACCGAGTGCAAACTTAATTAAAAATGCGAATTGCAATGTTTAGATTATGGAATGAGAACAGTGGAACCGAAATAATGACAGTGGTATGGTAAAGAGCCATTGGGGAGGCCAAAAGCCGAGTTCACAGCTGGTTAGTGGATGCTCTAATTGTGGCATTCGGTATCCTCGGGGCTCATGGAAGAGAAAAGTAAAGTGATGAAACACAGCAAGTTCACTGAACAGAGCAGGGGTGGAGCAGTGGTCCGGTCAGTCTCTGATGTATTTGCGGTCCAGTGTTTTCATCCACGCTGAACCATGGCTGGCTTTGTGCTGTCAGAGGCTGTGTTGCTGCAGCATTCATGTTGCTCATGCCCACAATTTATTAGTGGTTGGTCTGTAACCCAGGCAACACATGCTGCATGTCCACAGACAGACAGACAGACATTTCAAATGGCTCAAACAGGGTTTTTTTTAAATAAAATGATAGATTGTTTAAATTGCCAAACTCACTACATTTGACCTCCATGTCCCATTCATGCCAGAATGATGAGAGAAAAAGAAGTTCCCACCGAACTTAAGATGAAAATTTGAGGAAACAAACAACATGCTGAAATAAATTCTGTTGGGGAAAGCGATGAATAATAATACGAAATACGGCTTTGAATTCCTCACACTTGCTCACACAGAGCTCAAATGGAGGAGTGTGAAAAACAAAAGCAAAGAAAAAAAATAATGGTGCTTCCTCAAGCATCATGGTTAATTAATGAACCAGACTTTGACTTTTGGATTTGGGCTTCCGAAAAGTTCCCTGCTTCTGTTAATGAAAAAAAGGAGGGAAAAGACGGAAAATCACGCAGATAGGTGAAAAAAACTCAACATTATTTTACAAAACGAATGAAAAAGGAAATCTCTTGCTATTGTAAATGGCAGGAAAGGGGGTTACAGGCAAGTACTCTTTAGAAGAATACATATCCATCCGTTTTCTACACGGCGAGAGGTGGGGTACACCCTGGACAGGCCGCCAGTCCATCTCAACCCACACAGAGAAACAACCACACACCTAGGGGCAATTTAGAGTGTCCAATTAACCAAACATGCAGGTTTTTGGATGGTGGGAAGAAGCCAGAGTGCCTGGAGAGAACCCACACAGACAGGGAAAAAATGAAAACTCCACACTGAAAGGTGTTGGTTCCCCATATAAATATAATTCTTTTTTTTTTAAAGAAAAAAGGTGTAGAGATCTGAAAGATGCTTTAGAAGCTATATTTTATCACATGTACATTAAGGAAGCTTCTGATCAAAATTAGCTGGATAGAATCAGCTTTTCTCTCCATTTTGCATAAGGCAATATTTTTGTGAAGCATAAACTGAAAAATACCCACTAACACAGGGCCTGAAACACCCAGCTTACAAATTACACACTCTGTACAGTGATGATATATTAGGAGGATGAAAGCTCATCATAGTTATTATCTTCTATGCACAGAGGCTTTCTAAGCGGTTAATTCACAGGAAATAAAAGTTGTTTGCTGGTGTGTTTTAAAATTTTAACCCTATTTTGTAATATTTTTCTCTTAGAACAGACATACTTGCGCATAATGCACACCCAGAGACACAAATAATGAGAGAAGGAGGGAGGGAGAGAATTCTTGATGAGAAGATGAGAACATATTTGTTTTTGTCAAATAGCTAGAGGAAGGATTCAGTCGATGTTAATGAGGGGCAATTAGTTTTGATTAAAAACGGGATTGCCCCCTTACATGCAATGTAGCTAAATCATAACAAAATAATGATTAATTTGAGTTTTTTTTAAGACGTTATTGTCAACACCAAAAGTACCCATGCAACAAGGTTACAACTGCTCTGAAGGGAAGAGGAAAAAAAACTAATTTAGAGATATGAATAGATGCTTTTTCTTCAGGAGATGCTCATAATGTAGCAAGTGAATGGCTCAAAGCACTATGTCACATGCGCCCAGAATGTGTTTGCATGGGTAAACACGTAACAAGTGTCTTTGCCTTTTCCTTCTGCAGCATCCATCGTAATTGGGAAATGGTGGTGCGAGATGGAACCCTGTCTGGAGGGAGAGGAGTGTAAGACCCTGCCTGACAACTCTGGATGGATGTGCTCCTCTGGGAACAAGATCAAGACCACAAGGGTGAGGGTTTAACCAACTCCTATGCACAAAATATCAAAATATATAACAATAAACTTATAATGCAACAACTCCCTTGCACACAACACCCTTAAATATGATGTTTTTTTACATGTTGCAGCTGCACAGCCTTTAACCCCAACATGCAAAACACAGCAAACAGCCACCACATATCTTGGCTTTTAGATCTAATCAACTTTTTTGAAAATGAAATGAACACATTGCTAGAAATATGAAGAAGCAGCAATAATTAAACGCTTTGTCAAACCCTGTGTCAGACCTACATCTACATGGAAAGAATGTGCACAATGCACAGTATACACACTGTAAAAGGACAGTTGTTTTCTGAATAACAAGATTATTCTGTTCAGTTCCAAACAGCCTGTCTAAGGGACCATGGCAGTAAAAAATAGATATAAATCAGGTACCACACAAACAGGTAGTCTCTGCCTCAGGCCACATTCCAATCAGAGATTAAGCGAGGAGCCAGTCTGCTTCTGCAATACCTTTCTGTTTTCTAAAACAGACTCCAAATACGGCATGCAAAAATAATGAAGAGAGTTAAGTCTTGGAAGTCAGCAGTCCAGCACTCTGGGACAGGTTGATCACCTGATTTGTATTCACTTAACTGCCCCCCTCCCTCCCTTCTAGTGCTTGGAGACAATGACTTTGAATAAAAGCAGAGACTAATGGGATAGACGAGAAACAGGGTACAGCATGAGAAGGTTAGACCACATGGGGCTCTCCAAGGTTGATCTATAGATTTATATGCCAGCAGATAGACATAAAGCTTTCACTGGGACCCTTCTCAGCCACCACTGGCTTAAAATTTGCAGAAAGAAGTTGATCGAACGGGGTCTTGCCAGCATGTCAAGGTAAGCCACAGCTCTTAGTGCACTCTAAATAAAACCTCTAAGTTTTAGGTTAATCTTTTGCACAATTTGGAATGAATAGCCAATAAATATTTCCCTTTTTCTTTTTAAATAAGTAATTCTAGAATGTGAAATATTACACACAAAAGTAAAAACACAGAAAAGTAAAATACTTTCGGTCAAAAATCTGGAAAGAAGAGGGATACAAGGTCAGGCCTGAGGCTGCTGTTCTACCCAATACACACGTCATGTTTTTTTCTTGACCCTCTCTTTGCAGAACACCCAGCCATACTCCCCTTTTTAGCTTCTGGAAGCAAAATGCAGAGGATGCGTCAACAGAAATTGAGCTGCATTCTTGCTTCTGTAAAGGTTAGTCTTTTTCTAAAGCTTTTTTTTTTTTTTTTCCTAATTTTTTGTTTGTTTGTTTTTTGTTTTCCCGTCTCTCTCATCACTACGTGCGCTTGAATGTTGGCCGGTAGGAGTGGGACAAACTCATGTTCGATGACTTCCCCATTAACCCAAATACACTGTGCGAAAATAATCAAGTGTGTGTTTACATGCTGTGCATGATTAGGCAGGCGTGACACAAATACTGATCGCACTGCCACCCACCGTAAATATTTATCCTCCAGCACAGAGGGTGCATTAATTATTTGGAAGCTCCTGCATTTTTCACGGAAACGGTCCTACACGCATAACTAAATGTAAAGCATCCCCATGCACACGTAGGTGCGGCATGTCGTTTCAGCACTTTTACGGAGTAGATCAGAAACGCACAAACGCACTAAGTCGGAGCCCTTTTGCCGAACCCTGCTGTCTGTGATCAGTGTGTAATGACGGGATCAGCCCCTCGTCTCTTCACTGCCTTCTTTGTTCCGTGTTCGGTTTTTTTTCCTACCGGCTACTGTGTAGGTTTGATTACAGAGCCTTGCACTGGGGTCTGCCAATCCCATTAGGGAGTAATCTGTGACATGCTTCTGTGTGTGTTTACTCCCCTAAAAGTGTACACGCACATGCATTTTGGATGCGTTTGATATGTGTTTGTGGTCGTGCAGGGGCGAGCTCGCTGGGCAGGCCCTTTCCCCGCTCCGTTGTGTGGCGTCTTATCACAGGCCACTTGATATCCTTATCCCCCCTCTGAGGGTCTTGTTGAAGCGGCTATCAGCACACAGCATAGCCCAGGCTACATGAAAGGCCTTTTATCCTGCACTCTGCTCCCTTTTTAATCAGCATTCTTCATTCACCTGCCTCCCATGCCAAACGGCCACATTTGTGTGTGTTTCGTCCAGAAGCCACAAAGACCCACAGTGTGCAGTGCAGTTTATTTTGGTTTTGTGTTGTTTTTCTTTCTCCATCCATTTCAACCTCACCTGCATTTTTTATGAAAACCGTCAGTGGAACACACTACGGCAGACACACGTGGCCACATAAAGGCTTAATTTCCATCCTTAACAAGAATTGGCATGCAAAGTAAGGAGCCAAGCAAAGCCACAGGCTGACGCCCATGTTTCTTCTTTCCTTTCTTTATGTCTTTCAGAGAGGGAGCCCTTCATTGCCTGTTCTGTATCAGCAGACAAGGCAGGCCCTTTTGTTTGTGGGAGTCACAGTTGAGAGTGAGGCTGGGGAGCACCTTCCAAAGCACTCGCCCATCATAGATCCGCATTACCCGCTCCGCTGGCTAAATAGATCAATCCATTTCTGCTCCCTCCAAACAATTATACTCCTTAAGACAGAAAGAATGAGAACAGCTGGGATAAAAAAAATATATTTAATTTTACTAGTTATATTTTCATATTCTGAATGGTCGGCTAAATATTATGAAATGTTTGACAACCTCGCTTTTTTGAGCAAGAGGAGGGAGTTTAAAGCAAGCCCCATATGGCATTTCACAAATGTTAATCATTCTTTCTTTGTCAACACCTCATGCTGCAGCATTACCACCTATTCGTGTACAATAGTTTAACACATAAATTCCACCAGAGTGTGTAACTGTTCAGTTAAGTGACTGCAAAGCATTCCCTTTTCATCACCATCTTTTTTTCTCCAGCTATATTTGCCATGATTTATCAGCTGCCATATGTCATTTCCAAAAGACCAGACAACGCTTTTCTAAGAATAAATAAATAAATAAACACACTGTGCTAGAATCTAGGCCACCGGTGATGACAGTCTTTGAGCGAAAGTGGCCTGCGAACAAATGCATCATCATCTATTTTGTCCCCCCAAAAAAAGGAGACGACACTCAAAATTAAATTAGCCACGGCGTATCAAGTGTGATTCACCCAGGCTGGATCTTTTCCACCTGCGTTCTTAATCGTGCTTCTTCCTCTCCTCCAGGCCTGTATAATGTCATCTGGGCCATAAGCACAAAATTATAGAATTAGAAAAAAAATGTTTTAGCTGCCAAACCGATTGCAGCCAATTGGACATTGTTATACAGGTCTTGAGTGAAGGAGTTCACTCCAAGTGTTACTTATTAATTTTATATTAATTCTCTTTTCTTTCTTTTCATTGTCAATATTTCATTAAATGGATCTTGATGCAACGTGTTGTCTGGAGTCTTCTGTTTTAAGAAGGTATTCTTTAGGGGTTGTTGTTGAAGAGGATTCTCAGTCGACATGATTGATTTGTTGAGCACTAAACAGGAGAGCAGGGAGAGAGTAGGCTATGTTTTGCTTGAAATCTTTTAACTAAGACAACTGTCCTTGGACCCCGCTGACTGAGTAAATCAAGATTAAATACGGTCAGCAAATTAGAATGCAGACAACTAATTTGCCACCAAAGGGGACAGACAGGAGATCTTTGAGGCTACCGGCTGCAAACCAAAATGAACACGGGACACTTTTAGTCACGCGCACACATGCAAGTGGGTTGAAATGACAACATTTCCATACAACCCCTGTTCTCCGGCTAACAAACCTCCGGGGAGATCTGAGAAAGAGAGCAATCCGTAACCTGTAGCCGGTCTTACTCTGGCAGAGGTAATTTTGATATGTCAGCAGACGGTGCAGATGAGCCCAGAGGATTACCATGTTTAAGGAACATGGGGGGGGGGGGGATAGAACATCTTTTCAAGGTGAGATTCTGTAACAAGACTTGCAAACCAAATGATAATTCTGAACCGCTAGAAGCTCCGCTGAAACTCCTGCATCAGGCTGGTGAATACATGAGCACTGCTCTATCCTGAAACTGGGTCTGCAGTCAATTCACGTGAAAACCGTTATAACAAGTTAGCTTGTTTTAACTGCATTTCCATCTAATAAAGATAACAAAAGTTACCTTATACTGTACAGTACCTCAGAGCTTTTTCCAATCAATTTAAGCAAATTATATGATCTGAATTCTCCAGAATCAGAAAGATTGGATAGACCTGTACATCTTAAAATGCATTAGTATATGTACAATACTCTACTAACCTTTTCTTGTGTTCTTACATTTACATTTAAAAAAAAGTGCATCTTGCATTCCTATGTAAGTGCATCAATAAATTCCAGATATATACATTTTGTCTTATCCAGAGAAGATATGTAATTGCAAAAACATGTAAACAACAGGTGCTAGCAGCATAGAGTGGGAAAATATATGCTAAAAAATGGGAAATAACTCAATTTTCTAATTCCAACACTCAAGTCAAGTATAGAGTAAAAACATACACAAACATTTGAAACCCTGCTCACTAAATAATAAGCAAAGAATACTAAATGCTCTCACATTGTGGAAAAATCATTAAATTATTAGAAAATCAAAACAAGAAAAAAAATTTCAAGGTCGAAAATCTCTTAACTTTTCATATAATTCTCTTAAGGATGATATTCAAATAACATAATGGTGCATAAGGGTGCATAATACTCTTTATATTAAAAATGTGGCCAGTAAAATCCTTTGACTGGCTTAGAAGAGTCTTCAACATACTGGAGTTCAACACAGCAGCCTGCACAATCAAATCTGCACACCTGGCACCACCTGCCCAGCCTGCTGGAAATGTCATGACTGTATTCCCTATACTGAACAGGATTATGGGATTTCTAAATGGTATCACAGTGTGTAGCAAACTTCAGATTTGTGAAATGAATATGCTCAAGCCCATGATAGTCATGGTGCAGGAATCGTTTAATAAGAGAGGGAGGGTATGAACTCAACAACTTTAACACTCGCAGACATCATTGACACAGTTTTTATTGAGCTTCGCATTGAACAGGATGCTGAAAAGCAGAACATTCAATAGCTGTCTCAAGGCTGAACAAAGCGCCATTCAAAAGTGGCTTGGTCTGTAACAGAGGGTGAATTAAATCTCCCAGATCTAGAGCCACAGAGAGACAGCTCAGACTAAGGAGGCCATTTTAGCCTAGATTCTCTGCTAGGTCGAAGGAAAATTCTGTGAATGGCTGGCTTTGCATTTAGATCCACATTAGGCTGGTTGTAGGAGGGGCAGAAATGGGCCCGGAGGTTGAGAAAAGTGAAAGATAAATCCCAAAATGTAACAGTGTCAATTTAAGAAGCAGACATATACAGCATGGAAACACACCAAGGTGTTTTTGTACAGAGTTTGGTTGATATATCACAATATACCTGTAACACACCTCCACTGTTTTCAGTTTCAGCATGATCCTGTACATGATACAGGGATGTACAAAAACGCATTTGTACGCATTTCAAAAGAGTCCCCTTGTTGTAGAAACACGCAAAGGAATCAATTCCTTGGGGTCCTATTTCCGCACACTTGTACATTTTTGGTCTCTCTAAGCGCATGTGTGTTTTCTCTCCTCTTCTCTTGTTCCCCTGTGTTGCAGATTCATCCCAGGACCTAACAGAGATCTCCCATAGCAGGGCGAATGCCAGGCTTCCCCCATCATGCACCCCCTTCTACTCCCATCGAACGGACTAAAACTATCACACCCACGGCCGCTGACTGGCTTACCTGGGACGACAGAGAGGATATTCACCCAGATAAAACAGCTCTGCTCGCGTGGTGCCGAGGATTTGAAACTAGACTAATCCCCTGCTTGATCAATGGGCCCCATGTTGGTGACTCTTCTCCTCCACACAGCAGTGGCTGGTTTCCAATCCACTCTTTTAACGTTTCCCTCACTCTATATTCTCCTCAAAAACTGAAACACTTTAGCAGGGGGTTATTTAGAGGTGGTTATGACGTTTAAAGACAATCGCTTCGGACTGCCTGTCGGCGTGCCGGTTGAGGAGCTCACATAGACCTGAAAGTGGGGTCCACAGAACTGGGGGCACAGAGGAGTGTAATAGCCCTCATGTTCTGTTATTACTGTGTGGAAGGCATTTATATGTGACTTGCAACTGGAGATGGATTGCTCTGACAACAGAGAGGACATTTAGCTGATAAAAAAAAATGGATTTTTAGCTACTGTGACTACTAGCAGCCCACAGTGATATAATGAGGAGGTTTTTTGGGTCCACCCCCACAGCCTCACCTTCATCCTCCACTACAGACATTTTGATTGCTGGGCATGCCCGATGTAAATTCATGAGCACTACTTTTGTTTTTACGTAAGATCATTTGTGTATATAAACTCATATATAAAAGCATAACAAAGACTGCAAGATGACAGATCTCAGAGGCTGAAAAATAGATTTACCGTTCTATTAGGAGCTCAAGTCCCATGGTGGAATATTGATCAGCCCCTGAACATATTCCAGAGGCTAGTGTTTACTGGAGTGCTTTCCAGTGTATGCTTGCGTTGGAGAAAAAAAAAAGTCACAACTGAATCATAAGTTGTTCTTTTTGTCATTCAACAATGTTGTTGGTTGAGGGATGCTTCTAGTTTCTGTACAGATCATGAAACATTGTATAAAACTGACACACACAAAAGCAGCACTAACAACAACTCAACATTTCAAATCAGAAACCGTAGGGAGTTAAAGCAACAGCAAAAAAACTAAAGGAGATTATGGGCTGTGGTCATGTTTAAGAGTGTTTGTCATGTGGAACTCCACTTCACACATGGGATGTGTGATTGACAGTGAAAAAGCATTAATCACAATGGAGAGAAATAGTTATCCCCCAGTAGATAAAAGTACATTACAGGACAGCCTTATGAGAAATAAAAAATGCATTTCTACACTGATATGCCGTCTCCCATTCCTTCACATGACGACTGATATTTTGAGAAGTGTTCCTCTTATGACCATCTGAAATCTTTTACTATGTGGGTGGGAGATCTTGCCAGAGTTTAATTTACATGATGTGGTAACATCATGAAGTGAGTTTTTGCTTGAGTAAACAAGCAATCAAGAACAGCCCGAGAAGGGTAGGAAAATGACTCACGGGCACATAGGCATCCACACATGCAGTAAACACAAACAAATCTGTGATGCTTCATTTATACAATTCCCTGGGTGGCAGAGTGGATTTATCAAAACAGAGCATTCAATTCATTCATGCAATTAGAATAAAGGCTTTCAATATTGGGGCAGGCAAAATTCCAGATGATTTTCAATATCAGCCTCCTCTCTCTCAGTTGATATTAGATTCGTCTCTCGTCCCAGCGGACACGCTGGCAAACATTCATCATTTAGGAATATGGCTAGCTTCATGTAGCCTGGTGCGTCGCTGAAGAGTCACAGAGGGTACAGAAACGACAGACACATCAATCTCCCACCAGTCTTGCCAGAATCATGACAGAATATGCAAAAGAAAAAGGGAGCAAGCATTTTTTTTTCCCCAACTCAGTGGGTCATCTCTGTCTTTGTTTCTCATTTCTAATATGATTTTCTGTTCCTTTTTTTAAAGCTTGTGCTTAAAGAGAATAGGTCAACAAAAGTGTTGGTGTCCAGATATTAGATTTTGCTGAGGTATCGTCAACTATGTTTGGGAGTTGTTTTGTTGTGGGGTTTTTTCCAGAGACGGTACCCAGACATCCTGCCACAGCCAACTGTGAAGATTATCTTCAAACTCCCAGCTCATGTGGGGAATAAAGAAGTTTAATCCCTCCATATCAATGCAAGTTCTAAGTGGATTCATGCTTAAAGTGTATTTCTGGACCTGAAATTGATGAGGTGATTTTTCCTATTCTCTTTTATACACTTCTTAGCTCTCTCAAGAAATGGTAGAGTCAAACTGTGTTGGGAGGTCCTGTTCCATATTTTTGACAAAGCGAAAAAGAAATGCGGCCTGAATAGACAACAGGGGGCAGCGCCTTCTCCCTTTCTGCTGTACCGTGCAATTTAAAAAGCCAGACATCCATCAAGTCCTGGAGGCCTCCCATGAAGACAGGTAGACAGCCATGTCCACATCTCGCTGGACGGCTAATCAACATTTGACAGCAAGAACAAGCCTTCTCATACGGTCAAGACATCTCCAGAAAATCTGTATTGTTGTTTATATATCTTGTGTTCATAATTTCCAAGCGCATCGAAAGTAAAACTGAAACTTTTGCTGTGATGTTAAGTACTTGGACTTTTAGATTGAGCTTCCCCTTTTCTGTCTTTGCACTTCATCACATTCATATTGTTCAATCATTTTGAATAACAACCTATAATTTGTGGAAAGGGCACACTCCTTACCCGTGGATGTAATGCAGGCCGT